GAACGAACCACTTGTTGTTTCCTCGACTCTAAGTCCGCATAATAACGAACTCCGTCGGTTTGTTCAAATGCCTTAGCTATTTGACGAGCAAGACGCTGACGCTGTCTCTGACGAGCTCTTTTCGTCAATGTCGTCGGGCTTTGATTCGATGACTCTTCAATTAGATAAGAGCCATTTTGAGCAGAGGTGTTGCGAGTGAAATTCTCAGCAACAATCAAGCGAGAGTCTTCATTTTGTGCCTTCTTTGGCATGCAACTCTTCCTCAATTGTGAGATCCTCTTGTACTTGCGAGATAATGAAGATCTTGAAGAGGATGATGAGAGATATTCCTCAAACTTGGTCTGGTCGAATTCGTATTCGACCATGGATTCAACTGGAATCTTGATCGGCTGCGACACGACGGTCTCGGCAGCGAGACCGTTGGCTCCCACTGTGGTCGCCAGCTTGTTTGCGTCAAAAGTTGGTTTCGTTGTGGAATTCATTATATCTTCGGTCGATTACAATAAATTCAAAAGAAATAGTCTTTTTATAAGACTTCTTTTACACAACAAAAGGAAAATTACAACTCTTGAGAAACAAACGCAGGACCGTTGTTTGGATCGCTGCTTGCGTGGGATCTTTGCCTGTGCCGGGAGCGCTTTGACTCGTGGACCACCAAATCACAGATTCTGATTGAACCGTGAGGGGTTTAATGATTCTTCCTTCGTTTATCGAAGTAAGAATTTGAAGCGAATATCTTATCGATGTAAGATGTTCACTCTTCCAAAGATCAAGTCTGAGCTTAGATCTCTAGGACTCGCTAGAAGCTTCTTGAGGATGTTTGTGAAGAAGGAAGACTCTCTCTCTTGCTCTAATTCACCAAAACTCAAGGCTCTCTGCTCTAATCTCTCTGGAAAATGCTCAGCCCCTGTCAATGATGTCCATAGGGGGGTATTTATAGCCTCCTTGGACAATAACTGAAGAAATAGCCGATCAACGACTATCCCTTTGACCGCGACATCCCGGACTGCAGCGGCTATTGGCGCGGCAGCATGAACTGCAGCGGCCACAGGGGCAGTTACCAGCACGTTCCATCGTGCTTGAAACTGTTCCTCCCACGACTTTTAACCACCTTTTTCGTGGTTTAACTGCTTGTCCACGTCAGCACACGTTCTATTTCTGATACGCCGCCACGTAGACTTCACATAATCATCACATAACTACCTCGTAACCGCTGTAGCATCCCCTATAGTAGCCGCGGCACCATGGATTGCCGCGCCCAAGCCGCGGCACTATGAACTGCCGCGTCTTAGCCGCGGCACTATGAGCTGCCGCGCTGTAGCCGCGGCACCATGAGCTGCCGCGCTGTAGCCGCGGCACCATGAGCTGCCGCGCCCACACGCTGTAGTTTGCATTGTTCTGTGAATTCACATTGTTTTGTGTTGATTCACATATCCTTTTGCTTCCTTTGGGCTTGTATGATCTCCCATGACTTAGATACTGATGTTTATCACCTTCTCTTTGTCTTGAGTGATATTTGGATGTCTGTAAGCATTTTTGACGTCTACAGATCCTTTTTTGTTTTTTGAAAATTATTATGATCCTTTTTTAATACTTGCAACCAAGTTCGTTTAAGCGTACCTCCAGGTCCACCTTATCATATTAACTATAATAATCTTATTTTTTTTTTTTAGGAAAATGATAAAGGCACACCCTCAACCACAACTCTAACCACACCCTCTCTCTCATTTGCTACAGTGCACCGGGCTCTACATGAGATTTTAAAATTTAAAATCCCATGTAGGGCCCGGTGCACTGTAGCAAATGAGAGAGGGGGTGTGGTTAGAGGTGTGCCTCTAGTGCCACCCTATTTTTCATACCACGTATATTCAACCCCATAAATTTATCTTCATTTATTAGTTACACCAGTCATTTTCCAGTCACATAACTGTTTGGGTCAAAAGTTGGTTTCGTTGTGGAATTCATTATATCTTCGGTCGATTACAATAAATTCAAAA